ACCACTGGGTAAATGCTGGCACATTAAAGGCAGTTCTCTTTAGAGCAGACATGATGGCAGGGAAGGGCCACTGTCTTGTCTGCTTCGTTCATCAGCCTTGTTGCACTATCTTCTCACCTGATGGCTTTGGGGAAGATGATGTGTTATGGCCATGCACTGGGAACTTTGTCATTGTTTGCATCAGCTTGTTACTGGTGTGACTTGGTGAATTTCTCCTGCATGTCATTAACGGAGATTCCCTTTCTGAGACTCCAGGAAAAAGAGAAGGTGGGAAACTGGAGGCAACTGAAAAGCCCCCAGGTCAGGATAAACAATGCAGGGAGGAGTGAGGAGAATTTTATATCAATTCCCCTTTCTATGGAGAAATGAAATCTGAACAGGATGGTCGCTCACAGAGTCAAAAAATGATCACATGATTCTCACATATAGAGCATACACCACTTTTTGGGTCATTAGTTCAGGTATCTACAAAGAATGCTCACTCAAAAATTGACTTGGCAACTCTCAAGTCTCTATTTCTGAGATAATAACACTTGCTGTCAGTCAGTGGACTGGTGATCGGGGTCTTTGACTTTGGTTTCAACAACAATCCTATAGAAATGTAAAATGGAGCTGGCTTCTGGTTTTACTTGACCGGCAACGATTGCTTTAACAGTTTCTCAGAGGCATCTCTTTGGTTCTTGAAAAAGAGCAAGTTATGCATGAGTCTGTCAGTGGCTTATAGGGAAGCATCCTATTTTTTTTGAAAAACTGATATCTTTAAGAAGTTTTGGAATTATCATATACTGACAAATAGGTTGAATTTAATGTTGGGCCTGAAGCTGCAGGTGGAAACATCTTTATCACGGTGTTTTTTTCTTCATGAAACTTCACTGAGTCCCAGTATCTTGGCTCTGGCTGTCACCGCACCCTGGAGTGACATTCTTTGGCCATTCCACTCTTGAATGTCTCTTGGGTAGCAATGACGATTTTTTCAGGCCTCTTTGAGAACCTCAGGACGATTAAGCCTTACTTTTCCTGTATCTGATACATAAGTATTTCTCAGTATAACTACACAGCCTTGTAACGTAATGAATTTATGGGCCAGAGCTCTGTGTCTAGGGATAAACGGGACACGCGACTTGTGGCTATGCAGTATATTCTGGAGATACTGAATGCCAAACCAGCTGTCCTCTGGGGTCTGGAGGAATCATCTGGCCTTAGCAGACACAACGGTTATTTTCTTCACAATTGGCTACCTAAACATCGATGTTTCTAAAAGAGCTTTTTAAAGCTCCCACTCCACCGCCCCAGTCCACCTTGATTTCAGCCCTAGCTCTAGTATCATGAGTTTAGACCACATCACACTGACAACTCACCTTGAGCATGCTTTGCTTGTCTTTCTGCCCTAAGACCTTCTCAGAGGGAGAAGGCTGAAACCAATCTCCCCACCTCAAGCACAGCTTCAAACCCTAGGTTGGGGGGTGGGGGAGTGGATTAATGCTTCTGGTGAAAATCCCCAAATAATGAGGGATGTGAACCAGCTAAAAAATACTTCACCCACTATTGTTCAGGAAAATAATTCTGGAAGGCAGCAGTTTGTTTCTCAGGAGGTACCAGTCGAATAAGTTCCCCAGTGCCCACAGAATGACCTTGAAGGCTTGTCCCCTCTTCACTTCCCTGCCTCTCTCTTGGTTCCTGAGATTATCATATATCACAGATAAATTACTGGTTCCTCAAGTTCTGCTTTCAGGGGACCCAAACTAGGATGCCAAGGAACAAGATGCTTGATTTGTTTTAATCAGTTATTGTGGGAACGTGTATTGTTCCATTGAAGTTGTGGTTGGTTATTTTTATTTTTAATAATCTCAGTATTTGGTGTATATGAGTAAGCCCACATGGAAAGTATAATTTATATTATCACCTGAAAGAAATGGAAGTGTTGGCTAATGTTTTACAATAACATCCATGTGATAATCAGAAAGTAAACCCTGGAGGAGGAAATGAGGAAGAATCCACTGACTTAGGGAAGAGGACCTGATTTCTAGACTCATCTCCGGTCCTCGTGGTTTGACACTGACAAAAGCAAGCATCTTTCTTGCTTTAGTGTCCTCACCTTTATAAAGTATTGAGCTTGATGGTCTCCATGCTTCTCTAGCTTAGACATTCTATAAGTTAGTAGGTATTAAAAAGTCGTTCTAAGGACCATATTTGTCCCTGAAACTCAGCTGAGGTCAGGACCTACTGGTAAGGAAGCCACAAAGCTCAGGGCTCTCTGGTCCTTTGCCCCTATCTTCCCCGTAGAACTCCAATATCAGGCCTCCTTGCTTTCCTAGCACATTTCTTCTAAAATATCTGTCACCTAGTCGGTGCTCAACAAATGCTGGAACTCCTACCATTTTTCAAAGCTTTAATGGGACCCCTATCAGAAAGAATAGAAAGATGGAACTCTCTTAGCCGGACATAGCTTATGTTCATCTGTCATAGATATAAAAGGGGAGTTAAGTAACTTTCAAATGATCACATTTTGTGAACAATTTCTCTGAAAACATTTTATATAATATGAATGTGTCACCCCATAGTGCCTTGTTTTTTTAGTTACTTGTGTGTGTTTTAACTTTTTTATTAAATGTCTTCTTGAATTCAGTCACCATGTTCTATCCATTGGTATATACTACTGAGTACCTTTCACTTAAGAATAATTGTGAAAAAAAATTAAGAAACAGAGACTCTACTGCGGTAGGAATTAGGACTCAGGGACTAAGATTTGAAAAGAATGGCTAGAAAATAAAGTCTGTGTGCTAAATAGCCTTCTAATAAATTGGGTTTAAAATAATGTTCTATGTTAACCTTCTCATTAGTATGTACATTGACCCCCAAAATCAATTAAAGACCCACATTTAAAAAAATTTTAAGTTACAACTTTAAGATGACACAACTATCAAACTAAGCATTGGGAAATACAATTGTAATTAATATTAAAAATATCAGTTCTCTTTTACAGTTGTTAAAGAGAGGGGAAGAGAGAAACGTGATTAAAAGATGAGAAAGGGAGGATAAGAGGAGCGACAACAGGAATGGAGGAACAAGAAATGAGTAGGAATGCAAGAAACCAAGAGTAGTCTTGAAGGAAGAAAGAGGATACGTGGGCTGAAGTGAGAGGTAGATGTAGGTAGGTGTAGGAGATTTTTTTTTATTGTTATGACCTTTATTGAGTTATAACTCATATTCCATGAAATTCATCCTTTTAAAGTGCACAACTCAATGTGTTTTAGTATATTCATAGGTTATGCAAACACCATCACTATTTTTAGAAAAAATAAATAAAATAGAAACCACATAGCCATCAGTTGTCACTTTCCATACTCCTCTGACACCCCAATAGTCCTAGATAATCACTATTCTACTTCCTGTCTCTATAGGGTTGTCAATTTTGAACATTTTTATAAATGAAATCATATAACATGTGGCCTTTTGGGCTTGTTCTTTCTGCTTAATATAATGTTTTCAAGGTTCATTCTTATTGTAGTATCCATTAAAACTTCATGGTTATTGCCAAATATGATTTCATTGTATGAATATACCACATTTTATTTATCTACTAGTGACTTCATCATATTTCATCATCAACAGTGTATGAGGGTTCAGTTTCTCCACATCATTGCCAACATTTATTATCTGTCTTTTTCATTATGGCCATTCTTGTGGGTGTGAAGTGATATCTCATTGTGTGTCTTTTTTTATTATTGTGTTTTTCATTGTATCCCTTTTTCATTCCCAAGTTCAGCAATTTGTCTTTTCTCCATTTTTCTGTCCCTCCCCCTTTAGTTTCTTGATTAGTCCAGTTTATGCTTCTTAATTTTGTTGGTCTTTCCAAAGAACCAAAGTTTCCACTGATTTTCTCTATTACTTTGCTATTCCCTATTTCCTTTATTCCAGCTATAAGTGTCCCTCTGAGCAGTGATTTTGCCAAATTATATATGTTTTGAATATTTTGCATTTTTTATTTTCATTCTTCTCAAGGTATTTTCTCCTTTCTTTCTTTCTTTCTTTCTTTCTTTCTTTCTTTCTTTCTTTCTTTCTTTCTTTCTTTCTTCCTTTCTTTCTTCTTTGACACATTTTTATTACACCATCATAGGTTAGGAATGCATATTACCATTGTTATCATTGTCACTACTATTTGACATTTCTTTTGTTGATTAACCATTGCTGATAGTCTTTTTTCTTCTTTTCCAATCTTTCTGAATTTTAGATTAAATTATGTAACTACGTTAGCATGAAGAATTTAGGGTTGGTGGGAATTACTTTCTGGGCTGAAATATTGATTAGAGTTATGTAAATGTAGTAGATTCTTAGAAGAGTTATCACAAAATCAAGTTGAGTCTTGATTAAGGGTTAGTATTTCCCACAAAAATTGGGGAACTACTACAGCATTGTTATATTACCTGCTCTGAAAGGTAGCCTAGAAATTCAAGGTTTTTGATGACAGCTGAGTTCCAGCTTTGCAATTGTGAATGGTTTCTGAGTATGCCTGGAATCCTACCCCGTCCTCCCCCTCTCTGATTGGCTTTGAAAAGCAAATAGAGTATAACAATAGGAGTTCTGGAATGTTCCTGTATTTGTATTATTGTTAACTCTTATCCTCTCTTCTCAGAGACAAGAGATTAAGTTAAAACTAGATGGGAATCTTCAAAGGATATAACAGGATTTTCCCTTTTCCCCCCACTACCTCCCTCCACCCAAACACTGACCTTCATACCTTCCCAGGCAGGAAGTTTTTCCGTGTGTGTATGTGTGTGTGTGTGTGTGTGTGTGTGTGTGTGTGTGTGTGTGTGTGTGTGACAACATGATGGGGCAGGTCCATCAATGGGGAAAACCCCATGGGAGAACACGCCTTTTGTGTACATTCCCAATATTTGCTATAAGTAGTGCCATCTGAGTCCCAGGCTGCTATCAGAACACCACAACACCCGAGGGAACTGGGTACCCAGCACTGAGCACTTCTATTCTTTGAGCTGAAAATGACGGGCTCTAGGAAGAATTTGTTCCTGGCTGCTTTCATGTCAGTGCTGCTGTTCCACGTCTGCAGCAGGACAGAAGGTAGGTGTCACTCTTTCTGCTCGCAGGGCAGGAAGATCTAGTATTTTCATTTTCCTCTAAGCCGTAAACTCATCTGGGGGGCGGGGGGTCCTCAGAGGATAGAAGCCTGTTAGAAAGTTTTCAAAAGGGAGTCATGGGAGTTGTCAGCTCATTGGTGAATGAAGGAGGGAGAGGTTCCTGCTGCTGACCAGGCTTTCTTCTCTGCTGTCAAACACAGCAGATTGGGGTGGGGGTGGGGGGGCTCACAGAGACCTCTAAGCTCCGGAATATTGCCAAACTGCTATTTCTGAGATGATGTAAATTGAGTAGCATTACCAGTGAATGGGGTCATTCTGAAATGTAAGGAACGCTCCCACTCCCCCAACTTTCTCATCTCCCAACTAAATAGTTTCAGCAAAGCTCAAAACTCATTATTTAGGGGTGGATTATGGCACCTGAGTTCTTCATGCTTGCAAGGCCTCAGGGACATCACTTGCCAACTTTGTGATAACATTTATCCCCTATCTTACAACAGGTTATAATTCAACTGAAGGAGTGTCCAAGTATTGCTTTATTGTTGTAAGAGAGCATCACTTTTTAGCAATAGGTGCATTCCTAAAAATGAACAAAATGAAAAATTTCTATGAACTCTTATAATTTCAAAAATGCTTTATTTATAGCTCATATAAAAGCAGTTTTTATGAATCACATTTTCATTTGTAAAGTCTTTTCATTTCTCTCAGTACTCTGCAGCCAGATGATAGATGGAAATCTGCCAATTTAAAAGATTATCTATGAAATTCTTCATGTAAGAGTTACTCACATTCTTGAGTAATTATAGTGAATTGAAATAAGAGAGCCAGTTTGTGTTTCTTATTAAAGATTGTCCCTTTATGAGAAGTCATGTGCTTCTAAACTATATTATTGAACCAAAATTTCCCATCACACAAACTATGTTTTTTTGAGAACTGAAAACTATGCTAAAATCAGTCTCAAAGACACTGAAACTCTTCCTTTAAATAGTTTACCACATAGACCAGATTCTAGGCTTTCCCACAACTATAAGTAGTTTCATAATATCAGAATAGTTTATTTATGTGGACTCAGTACAATTCATTTCTTTTTAGCAGCAAGTGCCTTCGATTGCTGCCTTCAATATACAGAACAAGTCATTTCTAGCAGATTTATCAAGGGCTTCGAACAGCAGCTGGCCAACGATGCTTGTGACATCAATGCAATCATGTAAGTTATTAACTGCTTTTAACTCAATTGTGTCAGAATACATGGAAATTTCAGGCATAAAAGTTTTTGCCTTTTTTTGTTTCATTTAGAAATATAAGATGTAGCAAAGGTATGTGTTAGTAGTGCATGTCTATTTCAAAGCTCACTTTTTATAAATATTTAATTTTATTAAATTTATTGGGTTGCCATTGGTTAAAAAAAATTATATAGGCTTCATGTGTACAATTCTACAGTGTATCGTCTGTATAGTGCATTGTGTGTTTACCACTCTGAGTCAAGTCTTCTTCCATGGTGACAAAAGGAGACTTGACTCTAAGTTCACTTTAAATAAGACTGGACCTAAGGCAAAGATTTTGCTTTAAAAAAAGAAGCATTTTCTAGATAAAATAATGGGCTACTAATGTGATCGTTCCAGAAAATATAGAAAACATAGACTAGACTTTAAAATGATAATCTTCTACCAGAAAATGATTGAGGCTATAAATAAAAACTCAGAGTAATTATACTGTCACATATAATAGTCTTGATTTAGATCAGATATTATACTTTGTTACTGATTATATATAATATATATATATATATATATATATATATATTCTGGGACTTTATTTTCTGCCATTGAGCAGTCATTTATTAAATTGCAGAGAAAGTCAGGAAGCATCCCTTTTATTTCTTGCATTAAGCTTTATTAAGATAATATGATTCTTCTTTTTGTTTTTGTTTTTGCATTTTTTTTTCACCTGTGATATAAATAAAATGCTTAGTGCATAGAACTATCAATTGGGATATGAAATTTCCATTGCATGTTTGATGAAAAAGCCATTTGAAAGCTCTTTAAACACAAACCTAATTTTCTGATTTTTCAGCCTTTACACAAAGAGAGGGTTGGCTGTGTGTGCAGATCCAAAGAAGAAATGGGTGAAACATATTGTGCACATCCTCAGGTATGAAACACAATCTAGTATCCTCTCTCCAAACATCTGGGGCAAGAGCAGTGTGCAGTGTGATGGAGCCTAGGCTTGCTGGCATTTTCCAGCCTAAGCACTGTGGAGATTTTAAAAGGGAAATTTGAAATGGACCATCAAAACAAAAATTCACTTTTTCCCACTTAGAAATCATTTTTTTAAACTTAGTGATTTTTTCACATGACATATTAAATTGCTCTATGCATTTGATAGTCACAAGCTATTTGATTCTTGTTGCAAAAATGTCTCCTATTAATATAATTTACATTTGTTTGTTAAAAACTGAAATATAAGCAATGAGAAAGAGGAATGGTTTTGACTTACATTGATGATAATAAAGGCACATTTTATCAATGGACAGAAGTCACCTAACATCACAGTGCCATAGACATGGAATTTGAAGACATGCTATAAGTGTTCACATCTTGTTTCTGTCAACACTAACTGAGCTATGATGGTCCAGGCCCTTCCTCTCTGAACCTTGATGTACTCATCTGGACTCAGAGCATCCTGACATGAGATTAGGGAATGAGAGGCAACTGCTAGGCACCAAAGCCTTTCCCGCCAGCCAGTCACCTGGTTTTTGCTTATTTGTTTCTTCTCTTTCTCTTTACAGCCAAAGAGTCAGGAAGATGTAAAAACAGATGCTCTTTGGAATGAAATTGGATATAGCCCAGAAACAAAAAGAACCTCGCTGGAGTTGGTGGTTTCACTTGCACATCGTTGAGTGTTTAGCAGTTATCTGATTTGTGTCATTGGACTTATCCAGTTAATGAAGTTGATACATATTGCATCATTCTTTTTACTTTGTTAAACATTGCATTACAGCCAAACTATTTCATGTTAAGTTATTTATATATGTGGGCCTTTTGTCTGTATGTTTTACTATTTAATAATAATTTCTTATAAGCTACTTAGTTTAGTACGAGGTATAAAATTATACTTGGAGGAATAATATTATATAAACTTCCTTTCAAGCAGCAACCCTTTGAAAAGCTATTTAACATTCTTCTGTTTGTAGTTTTGTTTCCTAAATTGTTGTAATTACCTGTAAAAGAGAAAAATGATGAGAATAAATACTAAAACTAAAAGAAATAACCAAACATTGTTTTTTTTTATTGAGTTATATGGTATTTAAGATATGTAAAAAAATTGAAGATCTAGTAGGAAATATAAACATATTCTGAAAATTTGTATTTTCTATTTACTTCTGCCTACTTATTACTTTTATCTCCATCCCTCATGGTCTAGGACTTCATTCTCTATGAATTCTAATGGAAAGTGGTTTTTTTTACTCAAAGTCATCCAAACCAGAAATTGAAAAAATCCTATAGCTGAGTTTCATAGCTCAGTGTTTACTGATATAAAACTTTTAAAATAAAAAATGTATCTATATATCTGCATGATCAAAGTCCATTGATGTAAAAGTCTTGGGAATATGTGGATATTTTAGAAGGTTTTAAGAATTTTGGTTGTAACATTCCTAGATGTTTGCCCCTTCCTACATTTAGACCATTAAAAAACACAGCATTCTGAAAAATAGAAAAAAAAAATATAAGTGTACCCATATACTTTGTGACTACAGAGACAGAACAACCATTTTGAAATTGCCTTGAGATATTTCTCAGTCCATCATTTTGTCATCAGCCCAGTATCTAGAAATGGGCATTTTAGCACAGAAATATTCTCTACTTCAAAAGTTCTACTGAGGCTTCTTTCGGTTGTTTCCAAAAAGAACATGGTTGTGCAAAATGAACCAGATAGAGCCTCACTAAGCAAAGGACAGACTTCAGATGTGTGAAAGCTATCGAGAACCCAGAAACAAGACAAAAAGACCCTGAACTAGTGTAGTTATCAAAGTTTATGCTGTGCCCCCACACTGCTCTTGGAACAATCTGCTTCAGATTCAAATCACCACTGGGAAGATCACTGGAGGCAGTGATGATATGAAGAAAAATCCAGACATGCAAATTCATAAAGCAGGGCAGTGATGGATCATTTAGTGAAGAGCCCAAACCTGTAAGTGGCTCAATAATCTCTGAAGACATCTCCCAGGAATAGTAACATTGAATCATCAGGGAAAGTATGCTCAATATCCTGTTTGTTTATTCATCAAACATGGGTTTAATACCTGCTCTATGCCAGGCCCTGTGCCAAAGGAAGCTGAGATACCAAGAGGCAAATTCAGGACTTGATCTTTGCTCCCAGTTAATTAGGGGTGAGAAGTGTGGTTAGAAGGAGGGGATGACATGTGAACCAGCTATTATGACACATGTAATTAGCACTTGAATAATGAAAGTCAAAGGGTGCTGAAGAGCATTCGATGTCAGAGCTTCCAGGAGGAAAGAATATTCAGTTGAACCATATTAAATGGCCAATGCATGATGTTCTTGAATTATGAAGATGGCATCTGTTTATGGTTCAGTCCATACTTGAGCTGAGGAATGAGGAGCCAGTAGCAGCCACCTAGTTGTAAAGGGACAGGGGGTGTTTGGAAATATCTGGGGCATTTTTTTTGTTTGTCACAATGTCTGGAGGGTATTCAGGGGGCAGAAGACAGGAATGTTAAACCTATTGGAATACACAGGACAGTCTTGCACAATGAAGAACTGTCCCACCCAATTGTTAACTGTGCCACCAACTGAGCAATACTGGGTGGAGCAGGGGCAAGAATGGAATAGTTGCAGATTAAATGAAACTATTAGTTGGTCCGAAGGTTGTGGGTTATTGTTAAGCTGATTAAATGAAACTGTTACCTCAACTAAGTGTAGTGGTTTGAACTCGAATGTGGAAACTTGGGAACCACTGAAAAAGTCAAAGCAGGAGGAAAGGGCAGCAGGAAGAAAGGTGGAAGCAGAGGGACCAGGGAGTTTCAATGAGCAAGGTGAGAATTGGTGAGACTTCAGAAAAGCTATGGCGGGGGTGGGGGGAGGGGGGTTGGAGGGTGGTGGGAAGGGAAGGGCACAGAAAAGAAAGTTTTGTGATTTCTGAGAATTCTCTCAAACCATCCTTCCTTGCACCCCCACTAGCCACCTTCTCTTTGAGCCACATGGCCAACAAGGGCCATTGCTGATAGCTGGGAGGCCTCACCAGATGAGCCCAGCAAAGCCAGAAAAGGATCATATTTTTTTAGTGCTGTGAAGGGGTCTGAATTGTTTGGGACCAGAAATACTAATAACTATTACCGAGGTTCTGGAGACTGAAATTTCTAGGCCAGAATGCCAATTTATTAATCACAATGCTAACATTACAGTGTCAAGTAATATTAGCATTGTGAGGGTATTCAATCTACTTGGCTTAGAGTGTTGTTCAAGTGTTCCATTTTCTTGTGGATCTTCTGTGTAGTTTTTTGTTTGTTTGTTTGTTTGTTTGTTTGTTTTACTTATTATGGAATATATGGTGTTATTGTATCCAACTTTAATTCTTCCTTTCAATTTTGTCAGTTTTTGTTTCATGTATTTTGAGGTGTTATATTTTCCAGATGGATTGGTCCTTTGTTATTATGGAACTTCCTCTTAATTTCTAGTAACATTTTTGTTACTATGGGAGATTTTTAAGACTACAATAACAATTTTATTATCATAGATTAAAAGATGAATACTTAAATTCTTAATATCACCAAATATTAGTCAGTGTTCAAATTTATATGTGTTTTTTTTAAAGGTTGTTTTTATTTTTTGGTTGTTAATTTGTTTGAATGAAAATCCAAAAACCTTCATACACTGCATTTGTTTGTTTATTTTTACTTTTAATCTATTTATTTTGTCATCACCCCCATTCTTTCTATTTTTCCTTTGCAATTGTTCCTGGTGGACAATTGTTCTAAAGTTTCCCAACCTCTGGGTTTTGTTGATAGCATTTCTCTGGTGTCATTTAGCATGTCCTCTGACTTGTAGAAATAAAGACTGGCTTGAAACTTCACTGGGGGTGGGGGACAAAACCACTTTACAAGTGCATTCTGATGTGAAGTTGTCTAAACTGATGCCAGGAACAGAAGTAAAAGGGGAAGCTGTAAGACTATGTGAAAGTCTTCAAGAAATGTGAAGAATTGATCAAGTCCAATTCATAGCAAGAGGGAGGGAAGGTAGATAGTCATACATGTCCTTCAAAGGAAGTGATGGGAAAGGTGTGTAGGAATGGAGAAGTCCTGTCAAGGAAGCACAAGAATGCCGGTCTCCACCTGCTCCTGGCCATGTGGTTGACTTGAGAAGATCATAAGATAGATGATGTTCTTGCCATAGACTCAGGTGAAAGAAGGAAGGATATGGAAGAGTTGTCCAAGAGCAGGACATCATGGAGATGAGTTGTAGACACACATCAGTATTGGGATGGAACAGTGATAAGTAGGAGAAGGGAATATGAATGCAATGGTTTGGATTTTGATGTTAATCATGTCATATATAATATCAAGACTTCTAGGCACCAAGTGCTAGGATCACTTGCTAATATTGCTAATATATTATCTCATTTAAACATGAGGTAGGTACTGTTTTTATGCCATAGTATGAATAGAGAAACTGAAGGCAAGGGAGTTAAAGAATTTGCATGAGGTCACACAGACTTTAGAGATATGATATAATTAGTTGGTTTCAAAGTTTTAAAAGGCATCAGGCATAAAGGTGCTTCTGTTATTAATGAAGACAGTAGCACCTATGGTGTCTGATGCTCCTTGATATTGGTTCTTTGTTATCTTCATAGACACCTGTGTGCTCTGCTCTCTTAGAAAATGTTGGAATATAGAATATCTTAGTGGGGTTTTTGTTTTTTGTATAAAAAGACTTAAAAGGTATGGTTCTTCAAGGAATAAGCTACATTTGTGATGTGGGCCCCTTTTTCCCTAGCAGTGCCAGACCCATATCAAACTGTTGTGCTTTTTTTTCTTATTAAATCATAGTTAATTGAATAAAAGTTATGTTTCCACCCATTCAACCAACACCTATTATGGACTGTTCTGGTCATTGGGAATTAATAAAATCTCTGCTTTCATGTGTTTTATGAAAGACAAAAAAACAAACAAACAAAAAAACAAAACCAAAAACACACACAAAACAAACAGGCAACCAAAGACATGTCTACTGTAAAAGAAAATTAAAGTCAGGTAAAGGAATAGAGATTGGGGTTGGGGATGTGGATGGAGAACTTCTCTATATTTGTTCTCACCCTTTAGCAATTTATTTCTTCTCCCTTATGATAATGCTAATGTAAGGTAAGGAAGACAAATGTAATTAAACCTACCCAAGAATCTGTTCTTAATTTTCTGAGATAAAATAAGGTCCATAGAGTGTTGCTGCTCTAGGCCTTGGTTTCCTGACTGAAAGGGTAGATGAATCAGAATCCCTAGGCCTATAAACTATTCTTCATTGGGTTAATTGTTTTTCTCACAGTGAAAAAATAGGGGGCTAACTCAAGTTAGAAGAAGTTAAATATGACTCATACTTGGTTATTGAATTTGCCTATGATAGAATTATTTATATCTACAGAGTTTGATGATTTTTTTCAAATTTGTTGTATTCCTCTGGCTCTAACTGAATCCAAATAGATACACAATGTTTATGAATAAATTTGGTATAATAATATGGTTACAGAACATGCTGCCCGTACTCTAGCACTATACAATATAGTACCCATTATTAGAACT